CTTCATCCCCTCCCGTCTGGACTATTGCAACAGCCTCCTCTACGGTTCACCTGCAAACATCCTCAGCAAACTCCAATACATCCAGAACTCCGCCGCCCGTCTACTCACCCACACCCGAATCCGTGAACACATTACACCCGTCCTCATCAAGCTCCACTGGCTCCCCATCCCCCAGAGAATTCAGTACAAAGCCCTCCATGACCTGGCCCCATCCTACCTGACTGACCTCCTCCACAGACACACTCCCACTCGCTCCCTCCACTCTGCTACTGCCAACCTCCTGTCCCCCTCCCCACCCGGACCAACCTCAAGTCCTGGGGCGGCAGAGCCTTCTCCGTTGCTGCACCCACCCTCTGGAACTCACTACCCCAATCCATCTGATACCTCATTCACACCAACGCAACTCCGGTTCAAGCTCCGTGCTAGAGCTTTTCAGGTTCAGAACCGGTTCTTCGGTTTAGCTCTGGCTCTTTTCACACCGCCCAGAGTCCGACTGGTGCTGCGTCATTGCGTCATCGTTTGCGTCATGACGTAAGCGTTTGCGGGCCTGCTTCATAAAGCCAAACCGCGCGGAAACCCCTCACAGCTGACACCGACAACAACAACAATGGCCGATTGTGCTCCAGCTTCCTCTGTACCTCTTCGGAAGACCAGATTCCCAGTAAGTAGTAGGTCTCTTCAGTGGACCACTGCTGCTTGTTAAGTTTCTCCATCGTTGTGTACAAACTGGATAACACGCGGGCTTTTTGTTGTTGTTCAGGAGTTGATCCTGCCCCCGCCCCCGCCTCGACGTAAGCGTGACGTATGCGGTGCTTTTGCTCTGGCCGGACAATTTGTTGGTGCTTGAAACGAACTGGATTCCAGAGCTAAGAGGCTGCTCCGCTGCGGTGTGAACAGGAAAACCCGGTGCTTTTCAAGCTCCAGCTCCGAACCGGCCCTGAAACACCGTTGGTGTGAATTAGGTAAGAGACTCTTCCTCCCTCACCGCATTCAAAACATCACTCAAAACCCACCTGCTCAACACTGCATTCAACTACTGACCCCCCCCCTTATTTTCTGTTTTGTTTATCTCTTTTTGTATTTTTCTTTGTTTTGTTTTGTTGTTGTTTTTTTTTATCCTCTGTCAAAGCGTCTTTGAGTTTCCTGAAAAGCGCTATACAAGTCTCATGTATTATTATTATTATGGCTGTGTTTGTACAGTCGATTTGCACAGGTAAGTAAGCGGATGTCCTATGAGAAACTGTGGGGATTCAAAGCAAATAAATACACCATAAATGCTTCCAATTGCTTTTGGCTGCAAATGAAACAGGTTAGAGGATCACGGTACAGCCTGAGCCTTCATCAGGGAGCTTGATCCCATCAGCGTAGAGCCTGAATATCAACAACAACAAACCAACGAATGTGTTTAGAGGTAAAGTGCTCCGGGAGGAAACCCTAACCTCGCCTCTTACACACTGCCAGTAGCTGCTGCACATTCAAATAGGACAATCACATAACGGCAACCTAAATGTGACGGGGGCTTTATAAAACATGAACATCCTCGAGTCCTGTGAGCACAGCAACGGGCTTAGATGGAGATTAAAAGAAACAAGATAGAGTAAATATTAGTATGTTGGCCATGTGGGCTCAGTGAACCCAGAGAGGGGGGGGTGATGTTGGCAGAATGCTAATGAGACAGCAGTCTGACTGTACGGCCCGACATAAACACAACGTGCCGGCCATCAGTCACTTGGAGCAGGTCGGGGGGGGGGGACAGTCTGTCTGCTTATCCGAGCGTGATGCAATAGGTCAGACGTCGCTGTGTCCTCCTCATAATTGATGAGAAATTAGCACAGGTAGTGTAGGTCATGAGCTCTACTCAAGCATACAGTGAGGAGGTGAAAGTGTGATCAATCAGGAGGTATTTCCAGTAGCATTTCATCCACAGCGATGCAATGTATAAACCACAACAGCATATACACAAAAAGCTCATTTCCCTCTCCGCATGTAGGGGAAATCGAGGCACATTCCCTCATGTAATTGCATGAAATACACCAACATCTTTTAATAAGCGCAGTCCATTTGCATGCAAATCAGACCAATTACTAACAAGTATCTGGCATGTGAGCATCATTTCACATAGAGCCGTATCATGCCTCATTTGCTCAGCCTTGAAACTTAAGCTGTTATATGGAGCCCGCTGTTCTCTATTTGTTCATTCAACATGGATTTGCCACTTGAGTATAAAAACTATTATTGCTGCGAATAATTATTTCACTTAATTTCCTCTCCACAAACACACAAAGGCAGCATGTTAGTATTAACACGTCCAAAGAGAACCCTTATTAGAAACACAAAATGCTCTGCAGCTACAAACACCAGGAGCAGGAACAAGATGTCCAACGTGTGAACTAAAGTGTGCTTTAAGTATATATTTCACTGCCCATGCTGGGTTGAACTACACCTACACGTACAGTACATTCATTATTATTCATGCATTATGAATGTAAAGAATTATGTTGGTTTAATATGCAAAGGTGGAACACTACTTTAGATTCATGTCATACTCTATTTTAGAGTATGAGACTTTGCAGTAATTGTTTTGTAGGAAAATGTATGTTTTCCAGCTGTAAATGATCAACCCCTTCAGACTTTTAGAAATGATCCAGTAATTCGTCATACTATAATACTTCATCATCAATCCCACATGGAAGTATATGTGTATAAACTGCTTTTGATTAATTGCAGGTGAATTATTTAAAACTAAATCAAGTTGCAGAGGAGAGGGAAGTGCTGCCTTCTTTGTAAATGCCTGGTTAGTATTTGCATAATGCATTGCTTGACTGGAAAATTGCTCTATTCCTCTGGGATGGAATCAAATCTGGAGCTGTGAACTTGCCATCTTTTATCAAAAGTTGAATTCCCAGCAAGATTGCTTTAACAAAAATCAGGATATAAAAATTCAACTGTCAAAGTGTGTAAGGACAAGCTCTACAGCCCAAACAGGACAGTAGATTTGTAATGTGTGATCACGATGTATCTCTAACAGCATCAAATGTACACGTGAGATCCTAAAAGTCAACAGAGCATCAGGTTAGAGAGCAGAAGAAGCGACAGTAGAAGCACTTTGCAGCGATGACATCCTCAAAGTGTTTCACAGTCAGCAGCTGTCAGAGGTGGCAGCACAAAGGCCAGAACAACTCACATCCCAGCACGCTGCACTCAAATCCCACAGAATGGGCCCAACACATCTGATGTACATTTGATAACAAGTAACAAGTTTATCTAAGGGAAGCTCTGCTGTGCTGCTAATGGGGAGTTTATCCTACTTTATGATGCTATGCAATCTATGGCATCATTACAGGAGTTTATGAGGTGTAATATTTGTAATCCATAACGGCTACAGAAATGCTCTGGTTGGATAGCAATTTATAGTTAAAAACGTCTCCTTTTGTTTATCTGTTTTCACACCCACTCTAGGAACCATGAGCTAAATGCAATAGCAATGTAACTAGTGATGACCCGGAGAGGTTGAACTTGTTAACAGCAGGGAGTGAATCTTCTCTGCCGTGCAGGTGGACAGCTGATTTATTTTCCATGTAGTTATTTTGCTGTAAATCTGCATTCAACCATTATACTGACTAAGCGCTGTGTAGGAGGAGAGAGTCAATCATGGCTGATTAATACCATCGCTAAGCCTGCATGGAGGCTGTCATTGAAATGATGTGGCACTGGCTTTCAAATGAGGTCATTATCTCTAAATATACAGTGGGAATGTTAGGTATGTTTATTAAAGCTAGGGATTTACATTGAAGAGCCATGGGGAAAAAACACACCTCGGGAAGTTGTATTTGTTATTTGGAAACTTAATGAGATGTCACAAGAGAACCTCCTTCCTTCCTCTCTGACAGACATACCACAAGGCTGTAATGACAGAATCACTTATCAGCACAGCAGCCTGTAACACATGAATGCATGGTGGTGCATCAAAGAGCACAATGTCAAGAGTGCACTGACAACTCGCAGTGAATCAGAGAATAAACCAGCAGACAGCAGCACCGGTTTATCTTCCTCATCAAACCATACACTGCCAATGATTAACATCTCATCCACAAAGCTTTCAATGTGTAATATTCTACAAACAATGATCGTCAGACACTTTCCACACACACACACACACAATACACACACACACACACACACACACACACACACACACACACACACACACACACACACACACACACACACACACACACACACACACACACACACACACACCACACACACACACACACACACACACACACACACACACACACACACACACACACACACACACACACACACACACACACACACACACACACACACACACACACACACACACACACACACACACACACACACACACACACACACACACACACACACACACACACACATGCTCATAGTGTCTAGTATAACTGTCAGCAATCTTATATGATGGGAATAAAACCAACGTATTGATAAGGGACACCTTTAAAGGGGGGGTACAAACCCCTATCTCCACTATGACATGATAAGAACCCACATTAGTATCCATGTCATTAATTGGCGTCATCTCCAACCAATTGGAAACCAATTAGGCAAGTCCACTTTTGAGAATGTACTTGTTGTATGTACAAATCAAGTGTCTAACATAAAGCAAACAAACCCAGCACCTGTGTCTAATACATATTATCTAAAGCTTATGTGTTGCTTTTATAATTGTGTTCCTAATTAAGACATGATGTGTGAATTGTAGGTTCTCCAAACCCCTGATCTTCACTATGACATGACTACAACACACATGATCATCCATGTCTTTAATTGGCATCATCTCAAGCCAATTGAAGACCAATTAGACAAGTCCTGTGTTGCTTCTGAGTGAGTGAGTGGGGGGGACTCCACTTGAGAAACCAGTCCACTGATGAAAAATACACACACACACACACACCAACACAAACACGCACACAGGTAATGATCCAGAGCCTGCTTACCTCCAGACGGTCCAGGCTGATGAAGCTGGTGATAGCAAATCCATCAATGATGTCCTCCTCCTGCGAGCTGGACTCCCGTCTCTTCCTGCGGGGGGGCCGCGGGGCTCTGGCGGCGGCTGCGGGGCGCGGCGCCTTCTTACCGGGCCGGGTGGTAGCGTCCCTCCCCGGACTGAGTCCTCCCTCCCGGTCAGAGCAGGAGGAGTTGGGGCTGTCTCTGCTTCCTGCCTCCCGCAACCTCCGCACCCTCTCCCGCTTGGCCCTGCGACCCCCCTGCTTCAATTTCCCATCCATGTTGTCGAAAAGAAATGTAAATATAACTCCACAGCGGGGGGCTCGCCTGGCTGCACCGTGTAATAACAACACACGCACACACTCTCGCGCACACACAACACACACACACACACACACACACACTCACAAACACACACACTGAACTGACAATTGCAGGCTGCCGCGCTAAAAACGCAAAGATAGCGCTGTGCGTGAATAACAAACACAGCCTAATAACACTCAATGACCTTCAGTGTAAACCTCTCCAATCTCCATTACGATAAATGTTCAAGTATCCCACTCCCGGCGGTGGGAAGACGCGTTATTTTGCCACGAATCCGCACTGTGTCGACGCGGTGTCCGCTAAAGCAGGTGCAAAACACGGTGAAATAGTTAAAATATACGCCGTACAGCCGCTTCGGAACTTTTGTTGGAATAATAAGAAGCGATGTTACAGCCGGGGCTCTCTGCATGCCGCAGACAGAGAATCATGTCGCTGTTGTTTTCCACCTCCCCGATCCATGATCCAGGGCTGTCAGACACTGAGCTCTGGATACTATCCGTCCGAAACAAACACGCCTGCCCAGGAAAGTACGCAGGCTATCGGTGCTGTCTGCTGGGTGAGTGAATAATCCCCATATTCATCTCTGCGCTTCACACGGATCCCAAGTCCGAGAGCTACTTATGCGCAATATTCCCTAAATGATCCGAATAAGACATCCAGTGTGTGGCCAAACTCCATGAGGCGATGAAGCGGTCTATTCCAGTTGAGATAATGTTGAGTTTCCTATAAATCCACTCCGGTCCGTCCCTTTGGCTGCTCGGTGGCTCGTGGTATTTTCTATTCGCATAAGAAGGCTCTGATAAGTGTCCTTAAAGCGACAGGAGTGATTAAAATCCCCCCCACCCCCTTCTCATTCCCTTCATCCGAAATTAAGAGACGCAGTGAAGCTTCAGAGAAACCCACATAACTGACGTATTTCCGCCACCTCTGGCCCGAATTCACCATAGGAAGGAAGCTGGTGTAGAAAGAAAAAAAGAGTGGGGGGGGGAAATCATTTTCTCTCGCTGTTGGCACACTTTGTCACACAAGGCTCTGTTTTATTGTGAGTCTGCCAGAACTGATGCCACATCATGCGTGTCTGGGCTGTCACTGGTCATAAATGCCAGGCACACACACTCTCTCACACACACATCATTCAGGGTTTGACAACTTGTCCATGTTGGACATCATCCCAAAAGTTCAACTCAAAGTGGAAAGTTGCATTTCATTGTCAGATTACTGTCAACATATCACAAGTGTACAGTAAATATTTGAAATGTGGGTTGCAGTGCTTCCCCTGTCCTGTGCCCCAGCTATTTAAACCCTGCAGTGAGTGTGTATCAGTGTGTGTGTGTGTGTGTGTTTCCCAGTGTGCAGCGTGGGGACTTCCAGGTCTGCAGAGTACAGCACAGCTTCATTTATCTGCTTTCCATCAGCAGAAATCAGGGCAATGACATTATATATTCATTGCATTGTGCAACAGTTGTTTTCATTACATATTTCAATTGCAACTCCACCTACACTTACAGCAAACATGTTGCTTTGTGTTGTGTTGTACATTATTATGCCAACAAGTGTGTACCCTTTTGAATGGTTCTACTCCACAGCATGTGACCTTGTATTTGTTATGAAGTATTTTTTGTGTCAGGGAAAGGTTAAAATCGATAGAAAAAGGGGAAGAAATCTGCTGTAAATGTTAAAACCCTCAGAATGTATCCCGCCTTCGCACCAAAATACTCAAGCCAAGATCATTCCCACATCCCAAAATGTAACCCTATAAACAAATATTGATAGAGAAAGCTAAATAGATTGCATTTATTTAACAATTAAATCAAGCTACAAATGTCAGGGAAGTGGTGCCTTTTGGAAAGCTTGAATAAAGTCAGCTTGATGGATCTGTTAACCTGAAGTCTTTTATTCTATATTTAATTCCCACTAAGACTGTTTTAACTTGATCTGGAAAGTACATTAAACTGTCAAACTGTGAGTAACTTAATATGCATGTCATACTTTACTATATCCTCAGGGAATGCATTTGAGTTACAGCATAAACACATAAAAAACGAAAGCAAAGATGGCTGAATATGTTTGATTTAAAATCACGCTCATAATAAGCACCTTAGCTCATCCTGTTGGCGATCTAATAAGGAAAGACGCCTGAACAGCAGCGTGACTGTTTGCAGTTCTCATTAGTCAGAGTCAGAGTGAGGGGGAAAGCTCTGATGATGAACACTTAATATCAGAGGCTTACCGGTAATGATCTCATACCAAGGTGTGGAGCTGAGAAATTACAATATTCTGCAAGTGTGAAATATTGCATTAAAGAACCCTCATTATTTCATCTTCACAGTACAAGCAGCAGTGGAAGCTTTTAGGCAGCGGTTCAGGTGTGGGAAAGTTGTTTTATGGTGGGAGATTCTGTGGGAAACTGCAAAGGCTGTGCATCAAAATGCAAAACGGAACTAGTTTTATGCAAATCCAGCGTGCCGCGGGGTAAATTATCCTGAGCACTGTAGGCGTTTAAACAAGAGGCTGCTCTCAGTGAGTGAGTAAGAGGACGTTTTTATGATACACTGCTGCGTCAGGTTACACTGTGTAATCTATACGCGAAAAGCAAAATGTTATACTTACTCTGGCTGCAGTTCAAGGACCGTTACTAAGAATGCCCCTCGTGCACTTTTTAAAACCAAGCAGCAAATCTGAGCATGGTAGCGAATGCTTACGAGGACAACATCCAGGTGAGCAGCGCATCACTCTTTGAGGACATGGACCTTTGGGGAAACCTGAGACAGTATCATTTCATGTTACTCTAACCTCTGTGAATAAACCCCTCTCTGTTTGAGCAGCTTTGCAAGAACTACTTCAGTAAGGAGATTAAAAAACAGGTATGGTGAGAGGGAAGAGATTACCTCTGTTTCTGCCATGCTTCTATTTGCTGTGAGCTTAATCCATAGCTATAGACTGTGAGCTCCCACATCGCAGTCTTTCAAACGCCTCGCCGCGGCTGTGCCTGAAGCTGTCATGCTTTTATGACGTTTAAGCAGCAGAATTGTTTTTCTTTGCCTCCACCACCGTGATAAGGATTGATTTGATGTCGAGGGGTCAAGGTACTCCTTGCTTAAAGGGTTATTTTCCGTTAAGATAGATCGAAGAGCGACACAGGATTGAGAGGTGAAGGATCCGAAGTGAGCGATAAAAGAGAAATAATTCTCCTGGAGAACACACCGTAGCCTCTGTGAAGAATATAGCCCTGCAGAAATCAATACGCCTAGATTTCACACTAGAAGACTTCACAGCTGTGAGACATCCCTACACTGTTGCTGAGATGATAAATGATGTTGGTCTCACAATATCATTTGTGCACAGTCAGTTCATTAGGACTACTTTCAACTTTTCTGGAAGCCATCAAGGTACAATGGTAATGGTGTAAGTGGCAGATTTGTTCTGATTGGTTTGCTAGACAGTCAGTTTTGGACTATTATGTCAGTACTTATTCTTTTTGAATAATGTCTGATGCAAGAGTTTTGCAAATGATTGATTTATATAAGACATCTGTTTAAAGAACATGGCTTTGGCAAATGAATTACGATAAAGGGTCAGAGTAAGGCGGCTAAAGTCACAGAGATATTGCAAATCACAAGGTGTGGAGTCTTCCAATAATCTTGTAATTTCTCAAATACCACTCAGTGGCTGAAGAAAACTAGAGTGTATGTCCTGTCCTTGATCACTCCTGACTCAAACTGAGCGTACATTGTCTATTGTTCACCGCCAATCAGCTTTAGCTACTGATTGTTTAATCAGCTTCGACATGGATTAGAGTCTCAAGAAAAAGAAGAAGAAGATCCTACAGTAGGTTCAACCTTGTTCGCCAGTGATAATGAATCCCTACAAGCTCACTTAGAAAACGTCAAACAACCCTTCACTATCCTTGGGTTTAGCTATTTGACTGATTCTGTTGTGTTTTGCTGTGTGGCTCTAAGGATTGCAATGCCAGTCCAGCAGTTTGGTCGCTCAACAAATATGTGATCGATTGCCATTTCATATACTGTAGTAGTGAAATGCAAAGTTTCCAAAGGATGAACTCTTCAGACTTTGGTTATTCCAACTTGGCATTTTGAGTCACAAGCAGGCTGACTTGTGTGCCCTTTAGAGAAATATCTCAACAACTAAATATTTTATGTCCATATATGCTTGATCTATAGAGGCCGAGTCCTAATGATTTTGGCGATCCTCTAATGGCGCTTTTCCACTGCAGGACCTAGCCCGGCTTAGTACGGTATGGTTAGGCCTTGGTAGGCCAGGCTCACTTTATGCTGCGTTTCCATTACAGTTTAGTAACAGGGGTAGTAACTATAGTAACGCCGTGTAGGCGGGGCGATCGGCTGTTCGGCGGGCGGAGCGACGCTGCGTAAAACTGACGTGACGTCATCTTCAATGCGAACCACAAAACCAAAACATCAGCCCTTAGCTGTTAGCACTCAGAGCTCACAGCTCCTCATATCTGTTCAGAAACTAGACAAAAGTTAAACAAGTACAAACCACAGACTGCCTGTGTCATGGCGAATACAGTCGCTGGTTTATTTATGTCTGTATAGGCCGTTGTTGTGAGTGTGGACGGTCAGAGCATATATAACGTTAGCTTCTCCATTCAGAAAACACACATTTTAAAAGGTTTTCCGCCTGCCGTCTGTCTGCAGACTTGGCAAAGCATTAATTCATGGTTTTCACTAACCAGTATCAGTATGTAGTTACTAACCGGTATCAGTATGTAAGCATCATTTTGAAACGTGTATTACAATTAAATCACGGTAGAATATGTTCATTTTGTTGTAGTTGTAGCCCCCTTTGCCAGCGATTCTCTCTGACCAATCAGCAGTCGAGAGTGTTTACGTCACTAGTTTAGCATATTCAGCCCGGTTGTTGGCCCGGTAAGAACCTCGATTTTGGAGGGCCAGAAAACAGGTGAAAAAGTAGCCCTGGGCCGGAACTACCCCTAGTGGAAAAGCAAAAAAAAGTGGGCCCGGCCTTAAACCGCCCTGTAGTGGAAAAGTGCCATAACTTTCCCCTTAGGGCCAAGATTAGTGCAACATCTTCACTTATTCTGTGAAATATCTAGCCGATTGACACCAACTTTTGTAGAGCCATTCACGTTACCAGATGATATTTACTTATGACCTTTTCACTTACACCTCTATGAGGCCGACCATTGTTCTTTTGAGTGACTTGTCTCAACAACTATCAGATGGATTACCGTGAAATGTAGACATTCACTTAAACCTCAGATTTAATTGTAATCACATTAGTGCTCCTTTAACTTTCAGGTTAGATTTTTCAATGGTCAATTACTCTGGTTGTGAGCAAATACCTCGTAAATTAGGCTCATGAAAGCACGTAGCTACAAGGTTTAGCATGCCACTGTTAGCATTGAGCACCACCATCGCATCGTAGTAGGGTCTCATCTCCTTTTTGAGAGAGGGCAGTAATTTTGGTAGTTTTCCCGACAAATGATCCCAATATTTCCCCATTGTTTATTTAACGAGAAGCAGCATGCTTGTGTTTCAATCCATCAGAATCTCCAGCAGCACGCAGTGGCAGCCAGCTGTTTTAAATATGGAGTTGTTGGGTTCTCACTGGAACATCTCAATGTGCTGCCTGGCTGTCACTGAGGAATTACTGTGAGGGAAAGCATGAGTCTGTGGCGTTATGCCTATAGGGCTCTCCTCTGCGACACATCATGGAGTAATTCACTAGTTTTGGTGGCAATTTACAGGCGGACTCAACAAGAAATGCGCTTGGGGGCCTCGGAAGAAACTCTCTCTCTCTCTCGGGAAACCACGGCCAGCTATAGGATTGCCTGTGCAAACCGCCACATGAAAAATGTACCTGCTCTCTCCGACTTACATCCTT